AAAAGGGGGGGGGGAAGGAAAAGGAAAAAAGGGAAGAAAGGACAAGGGGAAAAAAGGAAAAGGAAACAAGGATGAAAGCAAGTGAAAGCAAGGAAGAAGGGGGGAAATGGAAGGAAAAAGGAGGCAAGAAAAGTGAAAAGAGAGTCCGCGAGAAAGGGGGGGGGGCATAAAAACCATAGGAAAAATATAAAGAGAATTGCCGTCTAAAGGTACATTTTCAGGACAAAAACTCCACTTGGTCCATAGACGGTCAGGCGCCCCTTGACCCTAAATTTGCGGCTGTACAGAAATGCAAGAGTAGGCATGTAGTAAGGGGGCGCCATAAATCCATCGAACAGGAGCCGACATAGCATTTTAGGCCACGTCCACATCTTGGATTTGAGAATTTTCGAAAATCGACTAAAAATTCGAGTTTCCCGTCGAAAAGTACCCTTGATCCCGAGGTTCACAAAACTCTAACGAACAGAAACGGAGGCCAGAACCGGGGCTCATTTTAGGCCACATCCAACATTTTGGAGTTGAGAATTTTAAAAAAGTTGACTAAAAATTCGAGTTTTCCGTTGAAAAATACCGTGTGATTCCACGTTTCACAAGACTCGAACAAACAGAATCCGAGATAGCATTTTAGCCCACGTCCGCCATCTTGAATTTGAGAATTTTAAAAAATGGACGAAAAATTCGAGTTTCTCGTCGAAAAATACCTCCCGACACCGAATATCAGGAGAATCCATCGAACAGGAGCCGAGATGGCATTTTAAGCCACTTCAGTCATTTCGGATTTTTGAAGTTGAAAAATTTTACTTAAAACGCATGATACCCAAAATCGAAGTTCAGATTCGGATTCCTCGTTAAAAATTGATACAATTTCATGTATCATACCCGAGCATAGCGTGAAGGAAAGAGACGTAACGTAGACATACTGATTCGAGTATATGAATCCAACGTGGCAACATGGGTAGTGCTCAGTGGGTCAGCGGAGGAGGAAGAATAAGAATTTATCGTGAGGAATTCCTCGTGACGAAACCGAACGCTTAGCCGGCGCTAAGTGGAGCCTCCCCGTTCGGTTTCACTCGGGCGACAGGCGGCGGCGTAGTTCAAAGGGGAAGTACGACAGAATCTATACGCGTCGTTAAACCTTTTTCCTTCACGCTATTCTAACATATGATACATGAAATCTCATCAATTTTTCACGAGGAATCCGAATCTGAGCTTAGATTTTGGATATTACGCGTTTTATTCTATTTAAAATCGTTAGAGAATTTACAGAATTGTCCTTGAAAATTGATCACACATCAGAGTTTTTTTTACGTCATTAAACCTCTTTCCTTCACGTTATCCTAACATATGATGCATAAAATCTCATCAATTTTTCACGAGAAATCCGAATCTGAGCTTAGATTTTCGATATTACGCGTTTTAATCTATTTAAAATCGTGAGAGAATTTACAGAATTGTCCTTGAAAATTGATCACACATTGGTGATTTTTTACCCCGTTTTTCTTCTACGTTCACGTAATGAAATTAGATCAACAGTTGACTCATCGACTAGTCTAGCCTAACCCCCCAGAATCGGTCTAAAGGGCGAACGATTTTATCAGATAAGATGTGCGGTCCTAGTTTCCGGGCAATTGCGGTTNAAAACAGCTTCACCCCAGAGTTCTTTTCCAACACCACTGTCCTGAATCATCGCACGCGCTTTTGTCATGATTGTTAAATTTTTACGTTCCGACGTGCCGTTAAGTTCCGGGCAATACGGAATAGAGTAGTCCAGCTCCAATCCTCGGTCTTTGCACCACTTTTTGAATGCGCCACTCGTGAATTCTCCTCCGTTATCCAAACGTAGTTTTATGTTCTTGGTCTTCTGCTGCACCTCCAGTCTTATTATCATATTCTGTAACTCTTCACTTGCTTCACTTTTGTTCCCGAGTAATTCCGTTACAGTGAACCCCGAAAAATCGTCCGTTAACGTTATAAAATACGATTTTCCATCAAAAGTTTTCGGCTCGATAGGTCCGCACAGGTCGCTGTGCAATATCTGGAGTTTTTCGGTTGCTTTCATTCTCGCACTATTATAGGGCAATTTCGACAAATTCGATTTTAAACAGACATCGCAGTCTTTGCACTCTCGCACAATATCGCCTTTTTTATTTAATTCAACTCCGTCCGCGATTTTTTCAAGCACTTTAAGATTGGCGCCGCCAAGATGACCCATTCGCCTGTGCCAGTCAGGTTTTAAATTTATCACTGAAAGCGCTCCTTCTTTAGGTTTTTTAATGGTCAAATTCACCGTGAACAATCCACCTTCAATACGATATCCACGTAGAACTATCTTTCCTGCCATTTTTATTATTACTTCGTTTTCTTCAAAAAACACTTGCCCGCCGGATTTCACTACCGCGTTTACCGAAAATAAGTTCGCGCACACTTCCGGTGAGTAAAGTACGTTACGGAGGTTACACTCTTCAGCCACGATTGTTCCTTTTTTCACAATTTTTAAGTTCTGCTCCGCTTTTGCACTGGACACCGTTTGGTCCCACGGCTCCGCCGAAGATAACCATTCTTCCATGTAAGTCATGTGGCTTGTACAGCCCGAGTCCACGATCCACACGTCATTTTCATGTTCTTCTTGGAGGGCAAGAAACGACACGGCATTGTCTTCATTATCATTCTTCTTGACACTGTTATTTTTATTTCTAAAGAAGCATGCAGCTTCATCGTGATTATCCTTCTTACAAATGGAGCACCGCTTTCTGGCATTGGAAGTTTCACCGCGAGATGATTTTTCACCTGTTTTATCAGATTTTCCGGGCATTTTGACTCGACATTGACGTTTCAGATGCCCCACTTTATTACACCGATAGCACTTTCTTTTTTCGCTTCCAAAGAAAGCCACAGGCTCCTCCTTCTCGGTTTTTGTTTTATTTTGCTCCAGAACAATGCGATTTTTAAGAGTGTCTAATGTCTTGTTGGTTTCCGGCAAAAAATCAAATCCAGTCACGAAGGACCTCCAGGAGTCCGGCAGTGACTGTAGTATTTTATTTATCAGCAGTTCATTCTTGAGGGTATGATCCAGCGCTCTCAACTGCGCAAAGAGATTCTCCAATTTGGCCACGTAGCTCATAACATCTCCTTTAGTGTACGTAGCTGCATAAAATTCACGGAATAACGCACTTTTTTCTTGATTGGTGTTATACCCGTACACACTTTTTAAAGTTGCCCACATCTCCGCAGACGTTTCACAGGTTAAAATATTTGTCAGCAATGGTTTTTCGATTGTGGTCACTAT